TGGACACGACCTGAGTTGGCAGCAGCTGCACCAAAGACTGATTTGAAAGTATAACCATGGTTCCACTGAGGCATTAAAAAAGTTAAATTACCATTTTCCCCACATTGTCGAGATAAACCTGGAACTTGTTCTCCACGTCTCTGGACAGGTTCGTGCAGCTGTTTTTGATCTTGTCCATGTGCTCCCGCTGGCTGCTGCAGGTGAGGTGAAAGGTGAGCTGGTGAGGAAACAGTTTGTTTATCCGGTCCAAGAATTCTCTGGTCACCGTCGTGATGCCTTCTAGAGAATTTGCAAAGTCCTCTTTGCACTTGCTGGTGGAGGCAGAAAGAATCAAATAAAACGCTTTAACTTTGCTTATTTTTCAGGTTGTTTCAGTCGCACACGCCACACACACGTACCTGGTGTACAAGGCGTGCTGCTCCCTGAGAAAGGTGTTGTCGCGCCGCAGCTCCACCACCTCGCCGTTGAGGCGGGTTCGGTCTTTGACGGCTGTTTCTAACTCATCCCGCAGATTCTGCACCGTCTGGGTGAAGTTTGAGTTGACGACGTCCAGCTTGGCCTCCTGCTGATCGTAGAGTCTCTTCAGATTACTCAGCTCGCCTGGAGGATGCAGACAGAAACTGTCACAGGACGATTTCACTCTTATTAAGGCCAACTCCAATGATGCTATAAGGCTTAACGCATAATTTATTAATGCTTCAGAGTTATTAGATGATGAGTTTCCAGATGCAACATGTTTAACTGTTTAGGCAGAAAGAGATCAACCTCGCTACCCAAAAGCGTTTTGGGTAAAAGATCCGCAGCATCAAGATTCTGCAGACACTGTTTATGTTTCATGTTTGATGAGACGATAAATAACTGAGTAGAAGAAGAAGATGAGGTACATACTGCTCGTGCTGCTTCTAGTGATATGGGGCTGTATCGGAGGGGGGGGGCGCCGTGCCAGGTTCAGTAACCTGTTGCAGTCCTCCTGTGAGGAAAACACACAAAGACATTTGAAGAATGACTCACGATGATATTTTTGTGCACTGGTGACCAACGGGGAAGTGAACTTACAGACTTTTTCTTCAAATCCTGCTCCGTCTTGTTGGCATCAATCTTCTGCTTCGCCATCTCTCTCTCCAGAGCTGCCCTCTCCTCAGCGCGAGCCTTCAGCTGAGCTTCCAGCTTACTTTTCTCATTCCTCAGCTTGATGTTGTTGTCACTCAGTTTATTGAAGCCCAGCTCCAGCTCCTGCAGGATAACAGCACTCAGCATCAAAGCCATGCTTCTTACAGCTCTACACATGATGGTAGAACAACTGGGAAATCAAGTAAAATACTAAAATAATTAGAATTAAAATATTTACAGTGAAAAACATGACATCACTGAAATCTAAGAAAACCTCTCAGAAAATAATCCTACTAATAAGCTGTTGTATTGTTATTTAAGGCGGGCCTGGACATTCAAATGTCTTTGAAAACATTTGAATGTTTCAGTTTAATAAACCAAACTTGGACCAGCTCACTGACCTTGACCCTTTTATCTGCTGCAGTCTTCTCCGGCTGTCCGTAGATGACAAAAAGCACCAAGCTGACAATGATGAGTGACTGGATGAGAGAAGAAAAGAGGAAGACGATCCTCATGTAGTAGCCGCAGCTCTTCGCTTTGGACTTGTTCAGGTGCCTTACCTCTGGGCTCAGTTTGGCCCGAGAGTAGCTGGAGCTGTACATGACTGACTACAGAGAAATTATTTGTCCATAAAGAAAATCCGCAAGTATTCCCCCTGGAAGATGGAAGAAGTCGAGCGTGCAGTGAGGTGATGGTTTCCCGGTCTTCTGCTCGCCTTTTACAGCTCTGCCGACGTGAAGAAGCAGACAGGCACAAGTGGCAGGCAGTGATGGACGTAAACAATGACCCTTAGGTGTCCAGAAGGGTCATGTTTATAATTGGTGCTAGAGGCACACTTCCTGCCCCTCCCAGCCCAACCTCTCCTGCCTCTTCCCCTCCCGTCCCTCATCAGCCTGTGTCGCAGGACAGCCTCCTGCTGCAAAGCTGCCCAAGTTATCAGAAACTTTCCATGGAACGTTTGAAACAAAAATAAGTTGGTGTGATGGGATTTATATTTAAAGATCTTCAAGACACGTTTCAAGACATAAATACATTTAAAGCTTTTCAACAAAAACTGTAAGAAAACCGTCAGTTCTAACAAAATGTGCTCGCGCTGCCTAAAGAAGTCGCCTTTGCAGAGGACTGTGGCTGCATGCTCTCCTGT